GTAAAGAATTCATATGTCCCCAGGGATGGCTAGAACTAAAACCCTGGTTTCCTGATTCCAAATCCATTTTTTTTCCTAAATCTTGGAAGCAGCTGGAAACAAAATTAAATGATCAAAAATCCAAAGTTTCTTATATATTTCAACTTCCAAATAAATATATCTATGCCTGGTTATAATTATGCCTCATTATAAACATCACAATGTTACAGATTTTTCCTTCATTTACAGACTAGTAGGAAAAACTCAATTCATAAATAAGACATATTTTTACCATGAACTTTCCCTTATATTGAGTCATCATTCCCCTTCTTCTCAAGACTGAAGGTCTCAGAAGAACTTGGCTCTCACCTCCCTCACCTGAACAAACGACCAGGCTTCAGGTGTGAGCATAAGATTCGAGACAGAGCTTCCGACCATACACTGTCCATAAAATCCTAGAACTCTGGATTCAAATGGGTCTGCAAGCGTCCATTACCTCAGCAGCAGTTCTCAATATGTGCAGTCTTGATCCCTAACGATCTGGCTATGCTCAGAGACACATTTTCGGTTGTCACAACTCGGGGGAGGGAGGTGCTGTTCCTGGCATCTAGTGGGCAGAGGGCGGAGGGCCTGGTACATGGGACAGTCCTCATAGCGAGACCAGGGGTCCAGAACGTCAGCGGTGTGGAGGCTGAGAAACACGGAGGTACCTGCCTGTAGTCCAGCAAGATCAGGGACAGTAACGACAGAGCCCACACTAGAACTCAGTGCTCAAGTCCTGCACCAGTTACTGCCCATGAACTCAGAGGACAGAGATGAGGACAGGGAGAAGACTCCTCTGGCTGGAAGCGTGTGTGGGAAGCCAATCCACTTCACAGTTACAGGGTCTCTCTCAGTAGAACTAAACCACCTCCAAGACAATACTTTCCCAGAAAACTCTTGTTTCCAAAACTCAGTTCTGTTCACACTTGTTAGTTGTTTATTGCTGAGAAGCAATAAGGAAGATAAACCAACAATGGGACACCTGTGAATAGATATAAGAGAAGATCAGAGGGTAAAACAATAGGGTCACCTAGAAGGAATCCAGAGAAAACTCTCACTTTTGGATAGAATGCCTGTTCTGAGTATGAGAGATTTCATGTCTTTTTCTGTACAGTGAAAGCTGAAGAACTTATGCTAAGACACATTTCTTTCCAGAATAGAAAACAACGTCAGCGGCAAATATTTTATAATGGAAACTTTGTAGTAAGATTTTGGCTTTATCCAAGGAGAGGTTTGCCTCAGCTGCTGAGAGGTGAGCTATGGCTTTCATGCAAGGAATTTCTTGGATTAGTGTGGAACCAGCCAGCCCGGACTCTCGGTTAGGATAGCCTTGCAACAGAGATCAGCCATGCGATTCAGAATGGAGGCTTTGATTATGCAGTATTGACTTGGAGGTTATGGCCAATCAGTCATGTTTATGTAATGTCGCTCCAACAAATACTCTGAGCACTGAGGCCTGGATGAGCTTTCCTGGTTGGCAATGTTTCCTGTAAGCTGTCCTGCATCAAAGCCAGAGGGCAGCCATCTGACAACAGTGAAAGCTTCACGTTTTGAATGCCTCCACACCATGCATCTTGTCCTTCGTATAGAATCTTCCTCTGATTTTTTTTTTTTTTATGAGAGGTTTTTGCTATAGGGTGCGTGCACTCGCCAGAAAGGCAGAGAGAACAGAGGGACAGAAAGCAAGAAATCACCCTCCGGGGGGATGGCCATGCCACAATCCCTTCTCCTCCATTCTCCTCTCGGGATCTTGGGCATGCATACACATGCACCCGAAGTGAGTTTAAGCCACCGGGTACGGGACCTGAATTGCGGCCGACTACATGTGACTCCAGCGACATAGCCATTAGGCCAACAGCTGGTCCCCTTCCTCTGACTTTCATATGTATCCTCTCCCATAAACCATAAGCAGGAATATAACGGCCTTCCGTGAGTTCTGGGAGTCCTAGAGAATGGTCAGACATGGAGGTCGTTTTGAGAATTTCCTGAACTTACAGGGGTCGAAAGTAAGGGTGAACTTGGGGACTGTGCCCTCAAACTTGACAATTCAGCTAACTCTAGGCAAGAACAGAGGTTTGCTTATTTTCTAGTACAATTCTTGATATTTCCAGACTCGTGTCTTGAGTAACCGTCCCCTCACCAATGTGGCTGTGACCTGAGATTTGCTTCTAACCAAAGGGATACAGCAAAGCTGACGGCATCTGCAGGACTGTGTATACCTAACTGCTGCACAGGACTGTGACAGCCACCTTGCTAGAAGACTACCTCCCTCTGGCTGTGAAGAAGCAAGCGGCCATGCTGAGTTACCCTAGGGAAGAGTCACATTACAAGGAACTCAGGGAGGTCTCCAGCTAATAGCTGGCAAGAAAGTGATGCCTAGTCCCCCATTCTGCAGGAACTGAATGCTAGAACAGTCACTGGGGAGAGAAAGAGGACCCTTCCAACTCAGTCTCTGAAGTGAGTCTGCCACACTTCAAATGCAGAGTTCGGATGCAATCTCAAACAGCCAATCAAGCAAAGTCGCGTTGGACTCCTGACCTGAAGAAAATGTGAGATAGGGACCAGCAGTTAGCGTAATGGCTATGTCGTTGGACTCCCATGCAATCGACCATGGTTCGAGTCCCGGACCTGGTGGCTTAAACTCATGTTGGGCATGTGTGCGTGCGTGCTCAAGATCCCGAGAGTAGAGTGGAGGAGAAGGGAATGCGGCATGGCCATCCCCCCTTTGGGGTGATTTCTTGCTTTCTGTCTCTCTGTCTCTCTCTGTCTGGCGAGCGCACGCCCCTATAGTAAAAACCTCTCCCCAAAACAAACAAACAAACAAAAAACAGAATCGCATCACTCACGGCCTCAATGATCTCTGTGTTCTCTGAGGGACTGCAGAATGAAGCCTAAACACCTTAGCAGGGCACAAAACATCCTGTTTGATCATTCATCTATTCCCTTGTCTGGTTCGACCTCTTCATATGGTTTAGCTGTCACTGCTCTCTCTCCAAGCTCCAGGGTAGGCAGCTAATCATGCAGTTTCTACATGGTCTGCCTCCACTCCCCACCCTGCGTGTGACTCCTCTCGCCCTGAACGACCCACTCCCTGTCCCCTCCTCTCCTACCGTCTCCCCAGAAGGCAGTCAGTGCAGTGCTCCCCATCTCATCAGGAGGTGGCCTCTCCCAGGTCACCACAGAACCAGCTCCTGAGTAGCAAGCCCCACTGTGCACCCTAGTTGTTTCCTGCCTTTCCTGC